TCATAAACTTACTATGTACATGAAATACTACACATCTCCTTTTGCCCTGCTACCGCATACCAGGCCACAGCGGATATGATATAAACAAAGATAACAACAAATATGGACCACGGCAGAAATAAATATAGGCGGGTGCTTGAGAGGTGCTTAAGATTTGCTGCTTGGAGAGTTGTTGCTGAGTTTGTAAGGGCTGATTTGCCCACAGTTAATCGGTGATAAAGCCATGCTTTACCCTAAAAAGAATATAGACGGGTGCTTGGAGAGGTGCTTAAGTTAGGCTCCTGGTTGTTTCAAAGTATGGGTGCTTACTATATTTATATGGTCCCGGCTGTTCTGTAGAGTCTTGTAGTCCACTAATATGGATTAGTATCTAAGGGCAATCTCAACGCATCTTTATTTTAAACTTGCATCTTGTGCACTAAATAGGTAAATATATAAATTGCTTGGAGTTTGCATCTTATTTTTGTATCTAAAGGACCTATCATCTAGTACAATTTGTGAGAGAGCAGTAATTAATCCCTTGATTTTTTGCTAAGTTGGTGTTTGGTCAGGCATGCATTGGGTTATTTAGATATGTCATATGCACCCAATTGAAGTAATTTTTTTATCTAGGGGCACTCCTAATGTATTGTAACTTAAACTTGTATCCTGTTCACTAAATATATATTTAGCATAGTTTTAAATAGCGAGCTATTTGGACCGGTGCTGCTCCTTCATTGCCGCACCCTCCACTTTGTTCAGAAGGGATCCAATGAGGTAATTCATTTCATATTCGTCGATCTGTGTCGGAAAACATGGGTAAGCTATCCTCAAAATCCAACCATATTTGTACCTATTAGGACGGCCAATTTAAGGATGGTGATTTCATTGTTGTATATGCTATTAGTTATGGTTAAAAATAGACTCATGCACGTTCCTAGAGAGCGTGATTTCATTGTTTGAGAGCTACATGCCACAACAACAAAATTTATTTTAGCTCCTAGAGAGCGTGATTTGATCAACTGCTAATATTTATCAACTGCTAATTAATTACAAGAATTTGGGGCATGTTTCAATGCGGGTTTGATGCACGTGACTGTCGCCCCTTCATTGCGACGCGACGTGCGTCTGTCCGTGCTGCCCCCATCTAACCATAGTTGGGCAGGTTGGTCGGGTTGACCTGCTGTCATGACCATCTTCAGGAGGTTATGCCTAGCCATCAATCGTTTTCTGCCTTTGCTACGCTGCCGCTGGAGCGACGGTACGAAGTTCAATATGAGTCTGCTGGAGGATCTAGTCTGTCCTGTGACCGAATCCCATGTCTCGGGGGCGGCCTATTTCTTTCTTGTACTGGTCCATAACATCAACATGCATGGAGGGAGGGCCTAGGTGCTGGCTAGCGCACGAGACTTGCTTTTCTAGGTCGCTCGCAAAATGGCAATCCAAGATCAGTAAGAAGTTCATCAATCAATGCCACCAGCTCCATGCAATGCATTGGCTTCTCCCGAAACAGTCTTTCGCCTCATTTTATATATAAAATAAAAAACACAGTACACGTCCGAACGATATAAGGTGGAGAAGAATCCCTCAAACAAGCAGATCAAAAGAAAACTGGACCAGTAAAATCGTGCCAAAAAAGTACATAAAAGAAAGCCCGATAGGAATGTAGTTCTGTCTCGCTTCTTTCTTTTCTCTCTCTCTCTCTCTCTCTGCTCATTAACTAGGCCTCCACCGCCTGACGCCTAATGCGTCCTGAGGGGGCATCACGGGCGAAAACCCTAGGTGTGGTCGCCCTCGTCCATCTCCTCCTCCTCCAACTACAAATCCGGTTCGGCCAACGATGTGTTAGAATTCTCTGGACTCACTCTCGCAGAGATGAACACCGGTGTTTGGCGTCGCGTAATACCTTGCAACTTTTCTGTCTTTATCTTCTTATGCACTTACAAAGAAGAAACAGTGGCCGGTAGAGATCCTACCTCGGCGCCACGATCTGGCTCACCCTCGCGCCATCCCACGAGCACCAAGACCGGGTCCTAGCCCTACATGCACGGCACGCACAGATGGGGCTCATGCCTAACTAAACTTAACGGAAATAAAGGAAAGAAAACTACTGCTACCAAGGACTAGATTAAGTTGTCAACAAATCACCCCCTAATCTTGTCGTTGCTGATTTATTTCCTAAGAATTTCAGTCATGCCGATCCTCCTCAGCTCCTGGAACGCCAGTCGTCGAAGTCCCTTTGTCAGAGTATCAGCAAGTTGATCATTGGTTCGAACATAGTCGATGTCTATCTTTCCTTCATCCACGCACTCCCGAATGAAGTGGTACCGAATGTCAATGTGCTTGCTCCGCTCATGGAAGACAGGATTCTTCGACAAAGAGATCGCCGATTTGTTGTTGACGAACAGCTTCGGCGGCACCGTCGCATCGTTCAGCATCTCGCCGAGCAGCCATGCCAGCCAAATCCCTTGACACGCAGCAGTAGTGGCCGCAACGTACTCGGCCTCGCATGAAGAGATGGACACCACCCGTTGCTTCTGCGACTGCCAGCTTATGGGGTTCTCACCGAGGAAGAATATGGTGCCCGTCATGCTCTTCCGATCGACAATGCCCCCGTCGTGATCTGCATCACTGAACCCTGTTAGCTTCGGCTCGCCCTTCCCGCGCTTGAACGTGCATCCGTACTCCAGCGTCCCTGCTATATAACACAACAGGTTCTTCACCATCACGTTGTGAATTGCAGCAGGGGCCTCCATGAACCTGCTCAGATAACCCACCGCGAAGCTTATGTCTGGCCTTGTGTGAGTCAGGTACCCTAAACCTCCGATAATGGTCCGGTAATACGTGATGTCCACGGCATCCCCAATGTCCTCCTTGCTTAGTTTCAACCTCGGCTGTATTGGTGTGCTAAGCGAGTTGCAGTCTGCCTGCCCAGCTCGCTCCAACAGACACTTGGCATATGCTGTCTGGTAGAGCGTGGTCCGATCACACTCCTGGTGGATCTCAATGCCAAGATAGAAGCTGAGCTTTCCTAAGTCACTCATGCGGAACAGCTTGGTCATCTGCTGCTTGAAACTTGCGATCACCTCCATGTTCATGCCGGTGATGATGAGATCATCCACACCCCAACGAGCAGCAGTGAGCTTCCTGTGCCCTGCCGATACAGCGCGTGCTCTGACGGACGGCACTGAAAGCCAGTGTGCTCAGACTGCCATCCAGCTTCCCGTTCCACGCCCTTGGAGCTTGGCGCAGTCCATATAGGGCCTTGCGGAGGCGCAACACCTTATCTTCTTCTCCGGCCTTCACGTATCAAGGCGATTGCTGCACATACACCTCCTTGAGTAAGTCGCTATTCAAGAACGCGGACTTCACGTCCATGTGGTGCACCTGCCAGTCATGGTCAGCGGAGAGGGCGATCAACAAACTCACAGAGTCCATTCGTGCGATCGGCGCAAATATATCCTCGTAGTCGATCCCTTGTCAGTGGACGTAGCCCTTGGCTACCAGCCTCGCCTTATGCTTTACCATGACTCCCTGGGCGTCCTTCTTTAGTTTGTACACCCACTTTAGGCCGATGGTGCGGTGCCCAGGTGGGAGCGCACACAGCTCCCAGGTGCGGTTGTCGATGATGCTCCGCATCTCCTCTTTCGTGGTATCGCACCACCCTTTCTCGGCCTTCGCCTCGTTATACGACGCTGGCTCTTCTGCAGCTAGCAAAGATGAAGGACGCCCCTCTTCCTCGGCGAACAGGACGTAGTCGGCGAGCTGCGTGTTCGGCTGCACAATGCCTTCCTTGGCACAGGTGCGCATGGGGTGCACATTGATCGCTGCAGCCTATCCAGTGCTTGTCTTCGAGCCCTGCTCGGTGGACTCGGGTGTCGATGGTGTTTGCGCACTCGAGGACGTGGGCGTGGCAACAGTTGCGCAGGGTGACCCGGACGACCTCTGTGTCGTGGGCACCACGTCGAAGGTGTCTGTGGTACCGACCGCTGGCCAGTACGCCTCCTCGACGATGAAGGATCCTTGAACATGTGCTGGCTCATCTTCTCCCTCGGGCTTGCTCCAGTCCCAAGCAGCTTGTTCGTCGAAGATGACATCTCTGTAGACGTGCGCCTTCCTCGACGCCGAATGGTACACCCGGTACGCCGCGGTGCCAGGTTCATACCCGAGCAGCACCATAGGTTGGCTCCTGTCGTCCAGCTTCTTTGCATTTGGGCGCGTCGTCTTGACGTGGGCGATGCACCCAAACGCCTGGAAATGGTGGACGTCAGGCTATCTGCCACACCACACCTCGTATGTCGTCATCTTGGCAACGCTCTTTGTCGTGGAGCGGTTGAGCAGGTACATGGCCATGGTGACTGCCTCTTCCCCAAAACGCCCAGGGACGCCCTTCGCTTTCAGGAGAGTGCGAGCCATGCCGACATGGTCTGATTCCGCCGCTCGACCACGCCGTTTTGCTGGGGTGAGTAAGGAGCCGTGAGCTGTCTCTTCACCCCCTGATCTGCGAAGTGAGGCTGGTGGAGGTGAACTCTCCTCCACGATCCGTGTGCAGCGCCATCAGGCGGTGCCCAGCCTCGAGCTCTGCAACTGCCTGGAACTGCTGAGCACCAACTCCGCTTCATCCTTGGTCGCGAGGAGTCGCAACCACATGAACCTGCTCTTGTCATCAACAAGCAGCAGGAAGTAGCGTCCCCCCTCGGCGTAGGAGGAGAGATTGGGCCGCAGATGTCCGCGTGCACCAGCTCGAGCACTTCCTCCACTCGATTCAGTGCC